AATATTTAATTATTCAACAAAACTCGACTAAAACTAAAAGTAACAAATTGCAATAAATGTCGTGATGGTGATATTGTTTTATAGCCAGAATCACTCTAATACCAAATAACTTTTTTTTCAGTTTTAAGTAAAGTAAAGTTGCAGCCTATTTACGTCCCACTGCTGGGCACAGGCCTCCTCTCATTTCTGAGAGGGTTTTAGGGCAAGGAAATGTCCACCGCGCTGCCCCAATACGTGTTGGCGAACTTCACATGTCATCGAAATATTATTTTTTATTTCTCAAACATGCAGGTTTCCTCACGATTTTTTCCTTCACCGCCGAGCACGTGGTAAATCAGCACTTAAAATTGCAATTGACAATTTCATTGGTGCCGGCGGGGATCGAACCCGGGTTGCTCGAGTACTGTGAAGCTTACAGCGAGCGCTAACCATCTGAGCTACCACGGCTCAGGCTTCAGTTTTAAGATAGGGATAATAACATCGATGTTCGATGTTTAGGCCACTCAAAACATCGATGTTGACCATTATCGATGGTTTTTGTATATGTGTAGATAGTTACACATTGTTTTAAAATTATGTGGGTATACACAGCAAGGAAAAGTAACAATTAACTTGAATATCAATTTACGTAGAATAGTTATTATGCGACAACCGACAACGACACTACAAAATAAAGCGAATCAGTGACCATTGTGACATTACAGGAGACACTTGACAATTAAGTTTGACACACCATACTGACATTTTTTTAGATTAACGATGCGTTCAGAAATTCTGAATTATTCAAAATTTTTAATCTTCAGAGCAGATGCAAGATTTAGTTGATATTGATTTCGCGAGTTCGCATTGTTTGCAAGTTCCCAATTATCGATTATGGGTTCATTGACGTCGATGTTTCGATGTTTGAAATATGTCAACATCGATGTTAAAACATCGAAGTTTTAATTTTTAACATCGATGATCATCTAACATCCCTATTTTAAGTGTGTTTCCCACTCAGCGTGTGTTATGCGACGATCGTAAATAAAGCGCAAGGTCAAACTTTACGCGTCAGTACTGATTGTTTTGCACATGGCCAGCTCTATATTGCTTTTTCTCGCGTTAGTAGTCCCCGTAACCTTTTTCTGTACGCCCCGGCTAAGTCTACTTCTATCGTCGTTTACACAGAAGCTCTATCATAAACGACTTAGAACTTTGAGAATATCGATTTATTTTGTTACCACTTATTCATAGAATAATGATATAAATCGGTTAATATTCTCTTACCCTAAACGTCAAATTCTTTAAGTAAAACCTATATTCGCGAGCTACGCCGCGGGCACAGCTAGTTTTCAATATATCGTCAATTTGGTCGATAAACCTTCGTCTAGGGTGTCCTTTCCCGACTCTGCCGTTCACATCTGCAATATAGATTTGCTTTATCGCTCTTTCCTCGTTCATTCTTTCTACATTATTTTACCACCGAAGCATTCCTTTCTTAATCCTGGTCAAACCACAATTTTCTCTTATCACACAATTTCTCGCCCCATCATTCAAATTCAGTCCTAACATAGGTACTCCTGCGTTAACTCCTCGTTCTATATCCTTATCATATCTATCACCCCTGCTAAATACACAAACGCATCTACTCGCTGAATCAACTCCCCTTCTATTCTTATTTCATATAACGTTTTAGTTTCTTCTCTTTCAAAAAATCATCACTTTCGTCTTTCTTGCGTTCACTTTCACTCCCCTTTCCTTTAAAGATCTGTTCATTAACCCATACCATTATTTGCAACTCGGCCGCCGACGACGCAAATATGACGAAAGGCATTTGAGAATTAGCTCACCAATTCTTCAACTTTCAAATTTTCCAAACAACTTTCAATAAATAGGTTAAACAGCCACGGGGAAGCTACACAGCCCTGTCTGACACCTTTTTTAATGCCAAACCAGTCCGAGTAGACCCCGTTGATCCTGACACAAGCACTAGAGACCCTACAAAGAGACTTTAATGCCTGTATCAACCCAGCGCTCAACCCAAATGAGTTCATTATTTGCCATAACGCATTACTGTCCACTCTGTCATAAGCCTTTTCCAAGTTCATGAACGCACAAAAAACTTTCTCTTCTCCGCGATCATACGCATTTAAAAGACTTGATCCGTGCACCACATTCCTTTTCTAAATCCCGCTTGCACATCCCAAATTTTTCTATCAGTTTCTTTCGTAACTCTCTCTCGATTTCAAATAATGAGCAATTGAAGCTCAAATTGAAGGTTCAATCAGGACGTCGATTCAGCCGCGCAACTGGATTTAGTTTAGTGAGCAGTGTGGCTGCAACTAGTTTTATTGTACGCCAATAATTTATCAATAAACATATGTAAACCTCAATATATAAATTCCAATATGTACTATAAAAAAATCATTTAATAAATATCAATCAAACTCTTTAAAGTGATGGTACGTGACATTCTTAAGTATAACCGTTGACAAAAAATTAAAATAGAAAGAACAAATTGGTAAATTATGTAAACAGGTTCACATATGCACTTCCATAGATTAACAAAAGTGGTGACAAAAAAATGCAATTACTTATGACATATTTTGCTTATATTGACTCGGTAATCCGCTAAGGGATTATAAATTGGGGTACGTAACAATGCAGATGATAAAATTTTCATGCACAAGAAAAGGTGTTCGTGCCATTCATGGTGTTGGCCGGGAGGTCTCATGCCGATCTCTTCAAGACACTGGGAATGTTACCCGTGCCTTGTTTGTGTGTATTAGAAGTTGCTAATTTTGTAAAATAATACGGAAAAAGTATTTACTGACTTAATAAAGAAATGGTGTTCTTAAAACGAGATACACAGATAGATTAGTAATTAGTGATATAACGAAAAGTAAATGACTTAGCAAAAGTTCTTTTATGATGGGTTAAATAATATACAATAAAACACAATTCGATTAGTTATCGATGCTTCCTAATCAAAAAATCAAAAAATAATTATACCATCGGCTTCTTCAAAATACATTTTACCTACTCGGTAAACGAATTTTTAAATTAGAGAGGACAACCTTGACAGGACTACAGCTGATAATCGACATTTTTATTATTAATTGACATTGTGTACTTTTTTGTAAATTATTTTTTTTACCGTGTTTATATCGTACTAGCTGTGCCCCGCGGTTTCACCCGCGTATATCACGCGTCTACGCCTTGCGACATGTGAACTTCGAGAGAGACATCACGACGGACGGTTGCTGAATTAACAAAGATTTAAAAAGTGAAATATGTTACTAAAATTACATGGTTAACGTAATTGGTGGTTATGCATGACACAGGTACTGATACGAATAATGTGGCCTATTTTGTACCGGCGTTACTATTTCACATTTTAACATGAAAAAGTAGTTATTGTGACATAACTGTAATAGTTAAACATATGGTATCGCAGAGTTTTTTGTAGATATTGATATCTTCTATAAAACTGAAGGACATTACTTTGCTCTATTATCAATAGTTTCCGCAGCGTACGCGATATAAGGATTCTTTTTGGTATTTTTTTCCCACCTTGGGTTACATTAACTAAGTTTTCATACGGATCCCTAACTTTTTGAAAATATTATATAGCCTATGTTCATCAGGGATAAAGTAGGATTCTAATGGTGAAAGAATTTTTCAAATCGGTCCAGTAATTTCGGAGCCTATTCAATTCAAACAAACAAACAAATCTTTCCTCTTTATAATAGTAGTGTAGATGTAAAAAATGGAATGTTTGCTATTGGTGCTTTAATAAATCATAAAAATAATTCATTTTAATATCTAAGTAGGAATTTTGTAAAACAAATATTTGAATGAAGAAAAAAAATAAAACAAATTTGCATGTTTTTGACTTAGTATGTAATACTTAATATTTATTATTATTTCATGTAATATACTAAAAAGCAAATAAATAAATAACAAATATTATAGATATTGACAATCGCAATCGTTTCGGGTACCCTTCGCAGACAGACACACTCATTTGATTCTCCATAATAACAACAAATGGTAACGACTATAATCAATGATTAATGCAGTATATGTTCTTGAATCTATAATATTCTTTAATGAAACATTAATTACACCTGCTTACAATACAAAACTTTAGATTATTTTGTAGTACACAAGCACGAAATGGTTATACATCAACAACAATTTATACATTTTTTGTTACAATTTTGATTATTTGTTAGATTATGTAGCTATTATTATTGTTTTTAAATATATTTAAATACGATTTACCAAAATGCTTCTTAACAACAACGGACTCGGTGATTATCGCTTATATTTATCTCTATGAGACAGCAAATTTAAGAATTTGTTTTATTTGATTTTTAAGACTTAGCCGTATATTGTATGGCATTTAATATATATAATGTACTCTGTGACATTTATCAAGATCTATCGAGGAATAGCTGTATTTTAAAATTAATCATAGACAGTTGCAAGCGGCTTCTATGGACCATAATAGTTATCAATACTAAACAATATTAGTTCACAAAAGTGGACACCACAAAATACAATCTAAATTTAAGTAGAAAGGCTTACGTAGTACATATGACTCAATGAAAAAAGCATAAAATTTAGCAATCAACGCAGTCTAGCCTTCCAAATGTGCAGCCATATTTTTCATCAAAATTAATTTTAAAAAATACTTCTATACAATTCAAAAAATAAATGGAAACATTCTAAATAGTCCATATACCTAATAATCTGGTGCCATAGCATCAATAGATGAAAATGAAAATCACTATTTCAGGGCACAGTATGTGTACGAGCCCAATATTGTATATTTTCATCTTATATTGTAACCACTAAAAGAAAAGAAAATTAATAGCAAAAATAAATAACGCTACTATACAAATATTTATATAACAAGTCCAACATTAGGCTTACATTTGTAACATACAATATGGTGGTGTTTAAGTCAGTTCTCCATTTCTCTTACTATTTATATAAGACTACCTGTGATAACTTCATGTGTATTTTGGAATACTGCTTCCTGAAAATAAGAGAGAAATGAAATTATTTAAGTTATTTTGCTATAAAATATTAGCATAAAAAGATAAAATACGGCATTTTTAGGCAGTGGTCAGTGAATAATAGATTAATATTTTTATGTAGACATTTATTTGATTGAAAATTATGAAGTGTACATGTCAACAATTTTATTACTCCACACTTTGTCATTATAAATACTCATTGACTAGTATCATAACATTAAAGAACATGTCCAAGTTTTTAAACTGCCTTAGGTCTATAGAAACAAACTAAATTTACAGTCATTTATCTATTGTCTGTTTTATATCACCATTATACCACGTAAAACAGTACAACAGAAGATAATATAACAGAAAATATACAGTACAAACATAACTGCTTTGAATACTTTTAACTAGTTTCAAGTGTATAAAAGTGGGGTGCAAAATTTAAGCATAACTCCATTAATTTTTATCATTAGGCTACACTACCCATTCACTTTTATCAATTAATAATTATAACAATGGAATTCTTACATTCTACCTGATTCTATACATATCAGTGTGCGATAAATCATAGAAATTGCTTTAATTTTGTGTTACAATATCTCAGATTTCACATTACAGCACAAAAATTGTAGGTACATTATATTCTGGTAAATCAAAACAATCACATGAAATAAAGTTAGCCAGTTTTTATAGACATTTTACCAACAAAAGTAATTATTAATTAGCTGTCTATAGTTCAAAAACAAAATTATTTCAAAATCTACTCATGTAATTATCATGTTATAAAGAAAATTAAGTCAACTACATCTAAACAGAGAAAACCCCTGTCTAATTTTTCATAATTAAACATTTTTTTACACTTTTACAATGTTAACAAATACTCATATAAGGCATTACAATCATTTTCACATACAACTCAAAAAAGAGCGCAAAAATACGATTATCAGCAGAAGCTGTTTTTACATATCACAGAACTTTTAGTTGAGTCAAGAAAGCTAACAAATGGTTGAATATTTTTTTATAGGCCGATTTTAATGAAGTGTTTAACATTTCTAATATATTTGAAATCAGAAATATTTTAGCAGGCAGAATAATTTTTTGCAAATCGTGATTTTTAATATTTTATTTCTTTAAACTTTTGATTTGTATTATACCAAAAGCTTCTACGTATACTACTACACTGGCAATTCAGAACAAAAACTAGCTTACTTGCACAAATAATTTGCTCAAACTAAAGTTGCACAAGCAAGCATGTACGTTACACAGATCATGTTCTTTGCGAAAACTTTGTACAAACTGTTTGCCGACGCTACCGTGTGAAAGTTGTGCAGTGCACCATGTTGTTTGCGCAAATCGTGTGGCCGTGTAGCACGAGCTTATTAGTATACATAGAAGTCTTTGAATTTACCAGATAAAATTGCTCCTCATTCCTCACATTGATAATGATAAATAATAAAAAATTCCTCTCAGAAATTAGAGTAAGCACAGGACCCAGATGACTTCACTATATAACTGAATTTAATACTGCAAGCACCTTAAACAAAATTAATTCAAAAAAAACTAAATAAATAAATATTAAAAGTAGAGTAGGTAAAGAATTTCGCAACAAACTTCATTAAGCACAAAAATCATTGGAATAGATATTTTGTAAAATAAATTCAACCGACTTCAAAAAAAAGAGACGGTACTCAATATGCCTGTATTTTTTTTATGTGTGTTACCAAAGAACTTATTAACGGGTGAACCGATTTCGATGATTCTTTTTTTATTTATAAGGTGGTGCTTCATATGTAGTCCCACATAAATTTGATCAAGATCTGACCAGTAGTTTTGAGTTATCCATAATAATGCGTATTTAATTGACTTCGACTACATTCACAATGTTCTCATTTTATTTATATTCAAGTTGGTTGTATAAAATTTTTCATTTTACAACTTGTTTAATGCGATGTGCGCATTGAAGTACAGCACTAGAAAGCGCCTTCTGTTAAACATTTTACATGTTGGTTTACTTTAACAATGCATTTCTTGTTTTTAATTATTGAACCTACCTAAAACATAATAACACACATAAAAATTTGATACCGTATTACCTATTCCATTGTATTTTTTTCTCATATGTAGCACTAAATAATACTTTTTGGTATGTAAAAAATATATTGTTTTATGTATATTTCTACTATTATCCCAAATATACATTCGAAAATGACAGCAAAGTCGGTTAAGTCAGCAAATAAGTATGGTTTTAAATTTTTAAATAGTTTTTTATAATTTTTAAAATGAGGTTTACTATAGTTTTATTATTATTAAATAGATAATAATAAGTCATTGAAATTATTAAATGTATGTAGGACTAATATAAATTTTTTATCACTTGATATAAACCTTGAGCCCACCCACCGAAATGTTTCTGATTTCAAACAATATATTATAAAAACAAATTAAAAAAAGAATATCAAGCTATTTTTGAGAGTTTCTAAGTCATAATTTCAATGATGTCGACCAATACTATGTAACCAATTTGTGTATAAAAAGTATCATAATAATATGTACTTTTGTACAAAAACACAAATACTTATTTAAAAAATTATAGTACTTAATACATTTTAACGCTACATTGTCAGTTACTAAATTAACAAAGTTTATTGTTTGTAATTTTATATCATAGTAAGGAAAGGGCATCGCATGGTGAGCGGGGCAGGTGGAATTTCAACTTAGCTTTAGTTTAGTATCCGTTTCCTAGCCACGCAGTTAGCAGACACAGGTTTTGACAGTTTGCGGTCTCTCTGTGCGACATCCACACGAGATTAACATTCATGAAATGAGTCTCTATCCATTGTCGGACACAAAATTGGTAGTCAGGCCAAGCAAATGACATCTGACATGTACAATATATTATAGGAAAAGAAAATAGGACATAATTTCTGCTGAATACCTACATGATAATTATTCTTTGCACCTCTTTTTTGTTGTTTATATTTTTATATTATTCCAGAAGGTATAACAAATTATTTTCATCACATCATACTATACTACATGTTAACTAGACAAATGTGTCATTGATGTACACCATAAAATATAACTTATTTGTGATATACTCGTATGCATTGTTAGAGTAGTCCACATATATTTTTAGTTTTATCTTGTGCTCCCTTCTTGCGAGCGAGGACCGACTTATGCGGCCCATCTCTTTATACTTAACTTTTATAGGTGTACAGCTTTCACAAATATCTAATTAACAGATACATGTATCTTGTCTAACATTAAACTAAACTACATGTCAATATATACCTTACTATTTTCTTACAATTTACCTTGTTTGAACTAATACAGACTGATTAACTTGAAAATGAAAATAATTTTGTCTTAAATAAATTTAAATTTTACTAAATTAAAGACTTCATTTGTTTACTGGCATAAAGTCATAAAACTAGCACATAATTTTATTATAGTTGTTGAGTGAACATATGGCTTTCACGAACAAGCTTGGAATGTTTTTTTATAGAAGTAATTTAAACATCCATATGAACATCCACACATTATCACCCTGATGATAAGTGGAAGGTTTGCCCACAAATACAAGCAACTACATCTATCCTGAACTAAGAACCATGTTGTTACTCCTGAGGACTAAGATGGACTGCCTTGTATTCAGTAAAATGGTTTTTGTCAATCAGCGTACAAAATACAGCAGCTTTATGCTGCTATTCATGTTAGTGTTCTGTGCAAGCAAGGTCCTTGAACCCAATTGTGTGACTTATTAATACTGCAAAACGAATATGTTGTAGCATAAAGTCATAAAACTAGCACTTAGCACACATTTTTAAATTGACAAAATTTATACTAAATAAAAATTCTTATTGATGTAATGATATATTGAATACTGCTATTTAATTTCCTTTCACTATCGTATAAATATGCAGTGTATTCATATTTTTATGGTTTTATAAAATATTTTGACAAACATTGAAAGTCAATAATAAAGAAGTTAATATATAATGTTTGAAATTTTGTGAGAGTATCTTATTGTGTAAGAAATTTGTTTTGGGCCAGAACATGATTTTATTATGAATGTGCAATATTTATACAAAATAGAATTACAACAAAAATAATAATTAAAGTTCTCAATTACCTAATTTGTGTATTTTAAGGCAAAAGATCTAGGAATCAATGATGTTATTAGTTGATTTGATTTCGTAATTTTAGTAAGTAATGAAATTTTCAATACTTGAAAAATTTGTTATACTTCAATTAGGTAAATAGCAAGAATAATTTTTGAATTATTATTTTAAAAAACAGTAACTGGGTCTACTGCAAATTGAAGGTTTACACACTAATTTGATACAACAATAATTTGATAATGTGTAAGCAGTTAGATACCAATTGAGGCCTTATTTACAAATATGAAATCAAAGAAAGACATCCACAGAAAAATCAATAACATGCAAAACGATTACTTCAAGTGGCAAGCCAAGGCTTCAAGGTAAAATTTTGGCTTAACTGGCAATCTTTAGGAAGCCTGAGAAAGAGTTTTAGTTTTTTTATTTTTCTCCTCAGACTCTGCTATATAAACTATGTTTAACTTAACTTGTTGCCTTCACTTAAGAATATGATAAAAATAATAGATAATAAACCATACCACTGAGGGCTGATTTTTCAGTCATTAGTTAAGCTATCCATTAAATAATGTTTTTGTTAAACTGCATATAAAAGTGAACGGCATAGTCGGGAAGGGTCGCCCTAGGCGAAAGTTTATCGACCAAATTGGCGATATATTAAAAATGGGCCAAATCAAGAGTACCTTTAACCGACGAGCGTGTATGCGTAGGTATATGGATGTGGAGGAAGCGAGAGAGGTGTGTCAGGATCGTGCCAAATGGAAGTCCATAATCTCTGCCTACCCCTCTGGGTGACAGGCGTGAGTGTTTATGTATGTATTATGTATGTATAAAAGTGAAACAATTGAATTATTTTATTCACACAATTGAATTTTCAAATTTATTTATTAAATAATTTTATCTGATGATTGAAAAATCAACCCAGTCAATACTAATGCTACAGTGCAAAAAATATAATTTTACTCACTTGCACCATTTTTAAAAACATAAAAAACCTTATAAAGATATCATTTTGCATGCATTTAACATTGCACATTTTTTGTTTACGTGATAATTATTGTTTATTAAACTGTAAATATACATGAATTAGTTCATCAAATGTATTTTGTTTATTAGACTGAGAAATTATAATGTAAAATTCTGAAAGAAAAAACAGTACTTATATAAAGATCCTTAGTAAATTATTTCAATAGCAAGTATATTTGATGCAAGTTAAAAGAATGTATTGTATTTAACTAGTACGACTTGCCACGCTGCCAGTTTAGATAGAAAATAAAAACTGACTCTGCTACTTGACATACACAAAAAATTATGCACTCACCAAATACTTACTCTCCGATTGAAAATTTTAAGCAAAATTAAATAGGTTACTAACAACACTACTGTTGTCATAAAACTGAAAAATCTGCAGTAGGTAATGATATATATAATTATTTGAGTATTTATAATTTATAATTCATCATATTTGCAGATGCTTTAAAGCTGTTAGTTTTAATTCAATCAAAATATTGATGTTAAGAGAAATTTTTTTCTTTTGTACATGAGTACTATGTATGATTGATATCAACAGATTAGATAATAATTAAAGTTAACTATTTGTCATATTAAAGACAGGGGAAGTTTTTTATAATAATGAGTTCACAATAGTTTTCCTTCTATTTAAGATCAGGATTTGAATACATCAAGCAAATCACTTATAACATCTTTGTTTAATATATTTTAATCTTAATTACAAATTTAATATTCAAACATGTTATAAGAAAGTGTAATTTATTTTAAGACGTTATGTAATGATTATAAGTAATAGATCATAATATCTAAAATGTTAATGTGAAATTCCATAATTCACCCCACCTGTGTTGAGGCCAGTGTTTTCAGAGGCAGTAGCAGCCCCCATTGGGTTCGATGGCGGTGGAGGCATGGCGATGGGCGGCGCCTGTTCGCCAGCAGGGCGCCCTTCGCCACCAGGCTGTACGGTAACAGCCTGAACTCCGTCCGAATCATCCCTCTCAAGAGTATGATAATCACCGGATTCCTCTGGTGGGCGCGGCTTGCACTTGCCACAACAGCAATCACAGCAACAACATAAGCAGCAACAAAAGTAGCAACCCGTTAATATACCGCATACAACAACAAGAACCTTGCACCAAGTGCTCGTCACAACGAAATAGGCGTTGACATTTTCCTCGCCAAATTGTTCTGCTATGTAAAGTCCGAGTGATCCGTAATTATCGTATATGTTTCTCTTGGTAACGTCACTAAGAATTGTATGAGCACGATTAACTTCTTTAAACTTATCAGCTGCTTCTGGATTATTAGGGTTCTTATCGGGATGATATTTTAAAGCTAATTTACGATAGCTTTTCTTGACATCTTCTGGCGTTGCAGTTTTAGGAAGTTGCAGTATTTGATAAAGACTGTCTCCCGCAGTTGATAATTTCCTTTTATCCATTTTATTTGATCAATTTTCTTCTATTTTTTGCAAATTACTATCAACGTTTAGCAATAAAAAAATATGTACATAAATCCTAAACGCGACTGTTAAATTCCGATAAAATTCTACCTGAATGTACCTATCCATCAGGGCTACCAGTACAGAAAAGTCATTTTATACCGCTGCAATGCGTAAGCATCATATTATTAGTCTGTGACTCAAGCATCATATAAATCTTATTACCATTTATTACAAACCAATATAACTGCTGAAAAATAACGATTTAATTTTTTTTCTTATTGAAAATAAAACCAACAACTTGTAATAAAAATAAATAGACATTCTTAAAATGCTTAGTGCCAATATGAAGTTCAGGTTCTTACTTTATACATACTATTGCTTGATATATACTAGTTGACAAATTAAATACTATAGAAAGTGCTTAAATATTAACATACAATATCTAAAAAAAAAACATGTGTGCAAATCAGACGCGGTAGAAGTGAAACCTTCAGAAAACTAAACTTCGACAGAATGAAACGCATGCAGAGTATCATGCGTAGGATAATGAAACGAATGCAGAGTATCATGCGTAGGTAGGGTTTATTTAATGTAATATTGTTACTAAGTCTAACAATTGTTTTACATTTTATTCTACATCATAATATATTACATTAGATATTATACAGACTCCAAGTTTTCAATTCCATCATCATAAGTTCTAAAATATTATTTAATCAACAAATTTCGTCCTTAATCCTTAATCCTTGCTGCTCATAGACGTATACATAATCTTCATACATAATAGGAAACACTGTATATTTTATTATATATCATTCTTCCGCAGGCTAAATCCTACAGATGTATATGTTTGTCTCTTTTTAGTCTCGCTTTTTCGTTTCATCCAGTTTAAATTGAAGGGCACAGGAAAAAAAAAGCTCATTGACAATTACTAATTTACGTTTTTGGAATGAACTATACCATTTTACTTCGTTTTTTATGGCCAATCAGAGCACGTTATTTTAAACACGATAAAAGGCGCTGATTTTGTGTAAAGTTAATTGAAAAAAAAAACTAATTTAGGATAAAACGCGCTCATTGCATTCCATACATAGATTACCCCCTAAGTGATTCCAACAGAAGACTAAAAACACAAATAGTTTCTTTGAAGTCATTATTGGTAGAATAAAAAAACAAAAATTCATTAGCAGCGGAAAACAATGACGTATTAAGTTCCTTAGAAAAATCAAAATCTAGAAAATCAGGCAAAATTGTTAGAAAAAAATATTCACCACAATTGAGAGCTTTTGCATTCATCATAAATTACTCAGCTAGGCTTATAATTATGTACGCTAAACATTTAATACTTCTCTACCTTCTGTAAAAACACTAAGAAAGTTTGTAGTTTTAACACAATCAATTAAGCTTAATTATAAATAATAATAATAATAAAATAATATATATATATATATATATATATATATATATAATAAATATAAATAAATAAGCATAACAAAACTACTTATTTATTTGTTTGAGTTGTTATTGTATGAGGATATTTTTCATGAATTAAAAAAATCACCAATTCGATCACGAAAGTTGTAATCATGTCATTGATTTAGCTAAGAGTGTTATGGAAAAATACATAGACATACTCGTAAGATTACTCTACTCATCCAGGAAGACAGATCCTAAGAATTCTGTGAGACAATTTTATACTAAGATTATCCATTTTAAAAATCAGTCAAATATATATTTATAAATTAAATGAACAAATATATGTATACAATGTATAATTTATTAATAAACATCAAATAAAAATTGATCAATATATTTATTTATCATTATCAATAATCAATAAATCCCAAATTTATCGATCAACGTCCTAACCCTGTTCCATCACTATGGTTTGGTACATTTGACCTTTAAACATCCAATCACAGCGCATTTGCCACGTCCCCCGCAACCCTTGCATATGGCCAAATTTGGTGAACTCGAAACAGAACAAATATTCAATGATGCGGTATCTATTAGGGGGTAATCTGTGATTCCATACCGAGTAAAAAGGTGCCCATTGTCTATGAAACCACGGTAGAACGGGCTGATCGCAGCGATTGTAACAGAAAACGCGCTCATAGTCGGCCATCTTTATTATTTTGTCATACAAGTGACAGCTGCCAAATAAGCTTCTTCCTGTATAGGATAATTACTATACTCTTTGTAAGCTTCCTTGCATAAAGGAGACGGTCCATTTCTGGCCCAGTCTATGTACAGTATACCGAAAAAAAATCAGGGATTTTGTTAAAAATAAAATGAGAGAATAAATCCAACCAAATAACTTGCTAAAAATAAAAATGCAATCCCAAGTTTTTGATGGTTTTACAAGATGACGCCCTTCCAGTCATAAAAAGACGCGGTTATTTGTCAAATGTCATTTCTGTCAAGTGAAAATTTCATTTATTTCGAGCTTGGTTGTGTAGTTGTGAATTCGTGAATGCGTTTAACTGTGAATTTCTTTGGCGATTTGGTTTTTTGTTTGGACTTTAGATCAGATATGGGACATGTGTATTCTGTAGAATCACATTTTGAATCAGTAAGCAGGTATGTACTAAAAGAAAGATGTTTCCTTAAGCTATTAAACGGATTTGAATTAAATGCTTCTATCTGTAATCTGTTAATAACTATTAATTTCTACATAAGTTCATAATCGCTGCAAAGTCTTAATATGATGTAATAATAATAATAATAAGCATTTATTCATTACCACCAATAAAGTTAAAATGAGTACATACAGAAATGACAAGAATGACATAATGTAGTAATGAATGGGCTCTAGCTCAGCATAAATGTTGCAGTTGCCCACAACGCTGTTATTCTGCCAGCGCCCAACATATGAACAGTACAGTACGCGCGCATCCCTTTAATCACAACTATTCACATTAGGGTACATACCGTGGATCCCCGACTATTAGCCAGTTCAAATTAATAATCAAATATATATTTTTTTATTACCATTTTTTTTAAATAAATAAATAATTATTACAACAATATAACTAATAATAAGTAATATAAATTATAAAATAATATTGATATTAACAAGCCTAACTTCTTTAATCTCATATAAGTTGTTTCCCCACCTACTACATAGCAATGTTTATTATTTGTTTTAAGTATTTACAGGGCGGTCCTGCAATTAGGTAAAAATAAACCGCTTATGACAGTATTTGTTCTCTTAGTAAGTGACGTCTATATTTCTTTTTAAAACTCGATTTATTTGTCGTAGTGCGTAGTGGTGGTGGGAGATCATTCCAACACTTAGTTGCCATAAACTTAAAACTGCCTCGGAAAGCCGATGTTTTGTGTTTAGGGACGCAAAAAACCTTTGAGCATATTCGGGTTTTATATACATGTTGGTCATTTCTCCAATTAAGTTTTTTGTATAAATATTCTGGATTCTTTGTATTTATTATGCCGAATAGCAAAGAAGCATAAAAAAGTTTGAGACGGCCCTGCATTTTTAACATATTCGAGGCATTAAGATATGATGTAATATGAGTTCGTCTCGGTATGTAAAAACAATAACGAGCACAAGCATTCTGTACCCTCTGGATTAATTTTTGTGATTTTTTAAGCAAACAAGGTCCATAAACAGTTATACAATAATTTAATTTAGCTAAAACTACAAAGCTTTACACGTAAATTAACTGTGATAAATGGTCTAAATCTATATAGAACTTTTAACCTGTAAAAGCAGTTTTGTACCAAATTAATCACATGATTTTCAAACCTCAAATTGCTGTCAAAAAGAATGCCTAAATTTCGTGCTTCATGAACTTGTGCAATTTTCTCTCCATTAACATGTGTATCAGGTTCAGTTATAGCTATATCATGTACCTGCTTTTTAGTGCCAATTATAAGGAATTTTGACTTTGAAGGATTAAGAACCATGGAGTTATTTTGTGACCAATCGCAAACACGTTGAATATCCTGATTTAACTTATTTACTAATGTGTTAATATTTTTTCGATCTATGGGAATATATACCTGTAAATCATCAGCGTATAGATGGTATTTACAGTTTTTGAGACAGTTTATTATATCAGCACTGTAAATAATAAAAAGCAAAGGCCCTAACACAGATCCTTGAGGAACACCTCTATCAACAGGAAGAAGCTTAGAAATAAAGTTTTTACCATTATGCCTGTCTAAAATTACTTGTTGATGTCGGTCAGTTAAATAACTTTTAAACCACTTGAGTGTTTCATTATCAAAACCATAATATGAAAGGTTAGAAATCAGTAAGTTTGTGTTAATTGAGTCAAAGGCCCTTGAAAAATCTAATAAAGTGAGAATAGTACCTTCTCCAGAATCCGAAAAAGATAATATATCATCCACGACATTCATAAGAGCTGTTGCTGTTCCGTAATTTTTTCTAAAACCTGATTGTAGGTTGGGTATTAATTGATTTTTTTCACAGAAATTTATTACTTATGAGTAAACAACTTTCTCAAGTATTTTTGATAAGTAAGGCAGTATACTAATGGGTCTTAGGTCACCTACATTTGTTGGGTTACTTTTTTTAGGTATTGGACGAATAAGTGCAGTTCTCTTCGAATAAGTTTTTATCTTTCAGTTAACCTGTTAAAACATATTGCACTGTTTAAAATGCTCTTCTGTAATATAGATAGTTAATTAAAATAACATTGTTTCGTTTTAGATGAATGGAAATGCATCAATATGTTCACAATGTTTTGGAAATGTATTACAAGAATTATCTGTCGGCACAAATCTTGAAAATGGGCTCCAACGCTCTAATGCCAATACTATCAGTATATTGTGTGTTTGGTGTCAACGAAGACCAGCTAGCAGACAAGTTGTGACCCAATTAATATCATCCCAACAAGACTCTGTTTTAATAAGAGGCCGTATAAAATCTCGCCATCACTCGGGCAGAGCTAAGAAGAAGAAAAAAAAGCTAGAAATACATACATACTGTCGGCGAGACAAGGGACAAGTTG